TAACCCTCTGTCCACGTACTACCTTGCAAATTCAAATTTAGCCTTCTTGCGCGACCAGGTATCTCTTACTGCCCGTCTCAGAAACAGTGAAAGCTGGAAATCTGAAATTTTATGGCAGTATCCCTTATCAACGCTAATTTTCAACGTCCCTGTGGAAGTTTTGGCGAGAAAAATTATTTCGGGAGCCACAAGAGTTAGGAGGCTAAAAATCTCAGGGGATTTTTTCTGCCTAAGCTGGGCTTTCACAAACTCTAATTCAGTCCCTGAGTATGCCGAGGTCTCACGTACGATCACGTGAAATTTTTGTCTCAAAGATCATTCGAAAGCCAGGAAATGAGGAGTCTGAAATTGTGAAAGATATTCACTCTTTGAGGTTTCAAATTCCGCTTTCACGTGCCGTTGCGTGAAATTTTTAACTGTTTTCCAACATTTCAACTATTTTTGCGCTGACCAAAGTGCAAAGCAATGAAAATTATTAACAGGCAACATTGTTCGGTGGACGGAATTGCACAAAACGCATGATTGCACCGGCTATTCTGGTGCACACTGCTATTTATTATCAATAAGTACACTAATCGTTAGTTGCTGATCTCCTGCTCGTACTTGAAGGAAATTGATATCTCTTTTGCGAAGCTTCTAAAATTAACATTTCTGTTAGCTGAAATGCAGTCGGGATTTTGTTATTCAGTTGCTTAAACTGTACTTTGGGTAACAAGCTGCGTTTGTTCTTTTACTCACATAATGTGCTCGTCAGCGGTCGTTTTCTCTGGAAATTGCACCAGTATGCGCAAGTTTCTCGCGGTTTTTTCCCAATTTTTTTATGAATTTATGGGTTTTGATGCATATTCTCGATGCTGCAGCGGCATGCATTGGATTTGGTTGAGATGACTTATAAACGGATAATTCTGGTTTTGAGTAGGACGATTCGAAATTAGCAGTTAGGCCTTTATCGTTTTCGTATAAAGAAACCTTTTGTGCATTAATTTACGGTTTTTAAAATACTTATTTTCCGCCACTTCGAGCTATTTCCTGCCTGTTCGTTTCCCCATTGTTTTCTTTTTTTTTTTTCGGATTTTTGGACTTTTCTGTCAGTGACGCAGATATTTTTACTGTTTATCAAGCAGTCATAGAATAGAACATGCAGTAGAATGTGAGCAGCAGGACGCATTGTTCCTCTGTCAGTCTTTTTTTTTTGAGTTCAAAATCATTTTCGTTGAGCAGAAGTCATTTTAGTTCATTTCAGTTGTATGGTTTCCTCTGGTACTGCATCATTACCGAAAATGGCGTCGAGCACAACATCTGGTCAGCTGATGGATCTTCTTACGCGCCATATCCGTGCGATATTGGGACAGGACTTTTGGTCTTCTGAATTTGATAACACCACTGCAACGGATTCACTAAAAAATAAACATTACACGTTTCTTGAACTTTTTATGACTGTAAGTGTATAAATTTATTTGCATTTTTCCTTATGCTTCGTTAGCGAAGAGAGAGCCGTCGAGAAAATAACGAATTTTCTAATGTTTTAAAAGAAATGGCATTTAGTTCACCAAGTTTTAAAGGGCGGATTATCCTCCCGTTCCTTTCTCTCATATCTCGCCGATCCTTGCGTAAAATTTGTCCTTTCGCCCTCAAAAAACTAAAAGCTTCATTCTAGACACAGGGACTTTTTTAACGCGATTTTA